TCAGTGTCTTCATAAAGATTATATATATATTAAATCAGCTTAATTTTACATATGTTGCACAGTAAAAGTATTTCCATCTGATTAGGCCTAAATTTTATTGCCAAAAAGCTGTATTTTGTTTTCTGGCGCCGACCAGCAACTTCTCATTTTCTTAATTAGAAAAATATTTTTCCATGATAGCGTTAGCCCGGTTGAATTAACTCCAGGATTCGTGTTTGTTTTTCTTTTTCTCCAATCTGAACTGTTCAGTTTGTCCTTTCCAGCGTTGTCAACTCAAAGAAAGTTTCATGCAATGCTCTCCTGAGCGTGGTCTGCTCTCTGACTCATTTGACCAAAATATCTTCAGCTGCTTTGGTATGTCCTGGGGAGCAGAGCCCTGCAGTGGCCACTGCCACCCTTTGCTCGCCTTCTGTTGGATGGCACTGTGTGAGGAAGAGCTGTAATGCCTAAATTTCTTCCACCTGTGCAGGGTTTTTTGTCACTTTTGTGGTTCTTTGCTGATCTGAAGTGTTGGAGTCGCTCACCAGGAGCTGTCTTTGTGCAGGGAATTCCTGCCCAGGGAAGAGCTCATGAAGTGTCTTATTCCCTCACACCTGAGGCTGCTCCTTCAGCATTGTTGAAGTCACAGCTCTGGGAAGCTGCACTTTATCAGGAATCATAAAACCTGTCTGTATTTGTAGCAGCTTCTCACTTTATTAAAGCTCCTATGCAGCTTGTATAGCCTAATCTTTGTGCCTAATACTTTCTCACGAGGTATAGAAAGTCTTGGTTTTACTTCTCTAAACTGTTTTAAATTGTCCTTTATAATGCCTTGAAGGTTTTTGTTGTATTGGAAATTAAAATTTATGGTATTTCAGGATTTGCACTGGAAAATCCTAATGTTGATGCTGGCCAAAGTTAATACTGTTCAACCACGAGGAAAAAATGAAAAAAGGAGAATATACAAATACATCAACGATCTCAGAAGTCACAGAATGCTGGCAAAATACAGTTGGAACAGACCAAAAGAATTAATTTAGCTCACCTTCATGCTGCAAGGTAAGACCAACTGTTTCCATAGTGTCTCTGACAAGTGTTTGTCCAGCCTGCCCTTCAAGGCATCCAATACTGGGGATTTCAGAGCCCCTCCCTCCTACTCCTCTGCAGGGTGGGTGTAAAACAGATTTGTTTGTTTTCACGTGTCCAAATCCCTCCGTACTTCCTGGCTTATCACTCATGACTCTTGTTCTGCTGCTGAACTCCCCAGGCACACCAAAGTTTCATTTATTTTTCTCAAGAATGTCCTGCTTTGCCTGTTTCTTAACCTGTGTTTATACAAGCCTTAGAAATTTCGGCTCATCCTGGGGAAGTTCAGCCCTATGAGTTTCATCCCTGCTTCAAATAAACCCACAAAACAACAAAAAAAGGGTCTTTCTAATAAAGGACTTAGGTAGATATGAAAGAAAGTTTAATTTTGTGTTAGTTCTAAAGCAGAAATTTGAGTTTTGTAGCTGGATAATGTGTTAAGTATTCCACAAAGAGCAATAGAAGAGAAGCTGTAGCACCTAAACCTGGCTAGATCCTTGGATATAAATCATGTTTGCTGGCCTGTGTCACCCACAGTATTTTTGTTTCTGCTGCTATAAGGGCTACAGCCTCACAGCACTTTTCTTGTCATGAAAACACATCCTTAATGTCAACTCTTCAACCCTCTTCCCTTTTCCTAATAAAAATGCACCTTCACCCGTGATCCCTTAATTTCAAAAATTTCAACGTAAAGAGAAGCACTAACGCTGCTAGCCAGTCTTTTTCAGTCCTAGAGAAAACTTACAGACCTTACATAAAATTTTCTGTCTGTTTGGTCTGGAAAGTGCTAAAAAACACCAAAAAAAAAGCCTTTTTCTTTGACATTCCAAGCAAATGGGTACAATATACTTTGAGCTGTTGTTCACTTGTAGGCATCCCCAGTTCGGTGAGTGTTTACCAGTTAAAAGAACGTTCCAGGGCCTGTAGCAAAAGCTGTCTGTGGAGAGTTCAGTACAGCAAGACGAGCTGATGACATCCACGAGGATAAACACCAACAAACAATTGTTAAAGTTAGAACAAAAAAAACCCCTCTCGGTTGTATGTTTTGGGTTTGCTCAGGATCGCGGTGCCCTGAGTTAGGAAAGCACGAGTTTGCAGTTCAAAGAGAACTTATCAGGGGCTGGATTTTCCCTGGAAGTTGAGTACAGCCCTGATGTGTTGGAGTCAGGGGTGACAATGGAAAGGGGTGTAGCTGTTAAATGCCTGAGAGGAGACGCCACCTAATTCTCCCGGCTCAGGAGAAAGTGCTGCGGTGTGTTAGCACAGCTGGACGTGCACACCATCCCTCGAGGGAAAGAGAGGATTTGTGTGCTGGAAACCTCGAGAAACAGCAGGGCTCAGCCTTTTCTGCCTCCTCCCCATCCAGTTCATCAATAGAGGTTAATGTGAGGATGATGCTATTTTAAATAATCAATTTTTGCACTTTTTTTTTTAACAACAGTTGGCGATTTAAGCAAAAATCTTCCGTCTGCTGAGTGAGATTTTTATTTTCCTGCTTTTGTTTGTGTTGTATTCCATAGTCACTTGGCCAATTAGTATTGCCCATTATCATGCTTTGATCGTAACACATCAAGGAACGAGGCAGGGAAGGAAACATATTCTTCAGTCTCTTTGAAGGTGATGCAGTTGGCAAATGATTTTTTGAAGTGCAAATCCAACCCAATTGCACCTATATACACTTGAGTAGTTCCCTGGTGCAAGGGACAGATGAATTTGCTTACACAGCTGTGGGGTGTTTTGTGTAAGTGAATTAGATAAAATCAGTTCTATGGCTGCTTACCTGGGATGTCCATTAAAAGCCAGAAAAGTTAGCACTGAAATTTAAATGGATGGATGTTGATATATCAGCTGTTGATGTAGCACCTTATTAATAATGTCTATTAGTGACAGAGAAACAGTCTAAAAAGCTTTAAATGAGCGCTGTTCCATCCTCAGGTTGCTCAGGAGCAGTTCCCCTGTGGTTGATTGTCCTCCCAGAGCCTGGGCAGTGACACACGAGGTGCCCCAGTGCTGCCCCTGGGCTGCGGTGGCAGCTCCGGGAACGCTCAGATCGGGTTTCCAGAGGATCAGAGGAATAAATTCAGAATTTGTTCCTGCAAATAATCTCCAGTGTCTGCTTGCAATTTGCTGGTTCCACAGAAAATTTTTGGCAGCGAACATGTTTGCTTGGATTCTCACAATTGTTTTGGTAAGCATATTCTTTCCCTTGACAGGCCCCTCTTGGCAAATATTTCAAATTCCTGTCTTTCTCTTTTTACATTTCAGCTTTTCTCAGGGTTTTGAGCTGCAGCTCTCTATTATTTCTAAGGGCGGCTCTACATGTCACTACATTGTCACTACATGATGCAGAATTCCTAGGGTTTATGCAGAATTCCTGCTCATCCTTCAGGATACTGAGGAGATTGTGGCTAACAGTAATGAGGGAAGAAGTCTGGAAAAAAACCTGAAGGGAAATAAGCAAAAGTCAGATTGGTCATCATTAAATGGGAAGCTACATTTTTGTAGGACCTGAAATTCAAAACTTTCAAAATTATTCTGTAGCAAACAAAATTAATTTGTGATTTCAATACTGAGATGTTTTTTTTTTTTAATATTAAACTTTGGTAAGATTGGAACATCCAGGCAGTGGGAATGTCTTGGGGTTTCCAAACTTAATTTTGATCTCTTCAGCCCTTGGACCCTGGAGTTCCCCTCCACTTGCCAGTTGTTTGCAAGGAGCAAGTTACCACCAGAGGCTTTGGAAGTTCAGAACACATCTGGGAAGCCAGATGGGTAAATCAGGGCCACAGTTACTGCCAAGTTTGCTGCTTTCCAGATATAGAATATCTATATAATAAAGTGGCAGTGGAAAACTGTTTCATCCTAAAAGTTATAATGAACTCCAGTCAAGAGGTTGGTGCAGAAGTTGTGATCAAGCAGCAGAGGAGTAAGAGGGAAAAAATAGAGCTGACAAAAGGAACCAGGTGGATAAGAGCTGATAGAGGTACCTGAAGAGATGGAGCCAAAAGTCACTAAATGGATGAGTGGAGAGGAGATGTTACCTACAGGTGAGAAGATAAGTCATGTAGGGGCAGTGGCTTGGGTGGAAATCACTGTCCTATAGATCAGTAAACACCTGGTGCTGAAAATAATATTCAACCTGTTGACAACTTCTGGCAAAACAAACAGTAAATAAAATAATTCAGATTTTGCTGACACATTAGCATGTTATGATTGTGATTTTTAGTCTCTGATCTTGCCTACATCACCTTTAGATGCGTTGTGTGAGGATAAAGAAGGGGTTGATATGGAAATGCAGGGGAGATGAACAGGGATAGAAAGCTTAACAAGTTTTGTTTGAAATATTACTCTAGTTTATTTCACTGAAAATAAAGATCTTGGAGAGGGCTGAAAACAAGATTTTATCATAGCACAGCAAAATAAATGAAAAATATCAAGTAGATCTAGCTACCATTTTTCTTTTACATGTAAAATGCTGATTACAATTTGTGGTAGAGTTCAGAGTGCAATTGGGAGATTCATAAAAATACTTACATGTAATTATTCTTATTTAAAAAAGGCGAAGTAGCAACTACTTTAAGAAGTGTTTTGCCAGGGTTTGGTTTTTACTGAGCAAACCAGTGAAAGGGCGAGTGCCTCAGTTTCCCCTGCTGGATACAGATGTGCTACAGTCAATCCCTCAGAGCGCCGTGTGATTTAAATCAGTGGGGTTTTTAGAGGCTGTGCTTCTTCAGGCTGAACTCCAATCTGTTATTTTAGTAAACAGAGCTCAGCTTTCCCCCAGAAATTTCCGTTTTTCCCGAGCGTTCGAACGGTGAACGCTCGCTCTGGCTCCGGTCCCTCTGTAAGTGTGCAGATTGCTACGAGCACTAATCTCCCTTTTATCTGTTTGCTGAAGCACATGGACTTGTTTCCACTTGCTCCTGGCTGGCTGGTGTTAGGACCCAGAGAAGAGGCAGCACCGGCGCGATATAAATAGAGTACCAGAATGGGACAAAGTTTGCGGAGAAATAATGACATCACTCAGGCTCGCTCTCCACCCAAAAAGATCTGGGATGGAGGTGCAAACGTGAGCTGGGCGAGCGAGGAGTTTGCAGCTCCTTTCGGCTCAGTTTCTGAGGGGACAGGCAGGGTTTTCCGCCCGATGTGCTATAAGGAAGTGCATTTTCTTGCGAGCAAAACTGCGACCGGCTCCGGCTCTCTGACAACCTGAAAGTGATTGCAAGGAAAGGACAACCCTAGGAAGAAAGTTGAAAGCAGGATCTTTTTGTTTTTTGGAGCAGAAACAGAAATATTTGACTCCTTTCCACGGCACAGCACAACTTTCGGATTTCTTTTAATTCTTTTAATTCTCCTCCGATCACGGGAATTTATTTGGAGTTAAATGAAGATATCAAAGTGTGAAGCAGGAAAATACTACTCAAAGGGTCTGGAAGGATATTTTACCATCACTGAAGGAATGGACTTTCTGAACCTGCACAGAAAATGACCTTTTCAATACCAAAAGTAGCAAAGGAAAACTTATGATTGAAATCTTACAGGAGTTTGATTTCAGTTGTACTTTTAACCTGAAGTAGACCATGGAAAGTTTATTATCCCTGCTCTGTTGTCATTATTCTTTGCTGATTTTATTTCAGCAGAAATACCAGGTAATGTTCTGAGCATGGTCAGTATTGAGATATACTTGGATTCCTCTTAGCAAGTTTTGCCTCTCTATGTCTCATCATGTAATATTTTGTGTGCAGGTGTATGGAAACTATTCCCAGCTACCCAAACACCCAGGTAAGGAATGTTCTATTTACATTTTACGGCAGCGCGCTCAAATATTCATTTGCTTTTCTGCTTTGTATTTTTTTATTCTCTTCGTCCCTCTGTGATCCTGCATTTGAATGTCAGCTCTGTATTAAAAATGTAATAGCCTAAAGTATCAGACTGTCCCAGTCATTTTAAATTTGGTAACCCACCTACTGAATATTCTGCATAGAAATATTTTTGCAGGAAAATGGCTTTTATTTGCTCTGTGGGAAAACCCTATATGCGCTTATTACCTTTTTTTGAGTGTGTTTTTCTGAATCAGACCTCGACACAGGCTATTTTCCTTTTTTTTTTTTTTCCTTCAACGTTCAGCATTTTCAGTTCAATGATTTACTGTCAGATATGTCAGCTTGTATACTTTGCAGTGCTTTGGCATGGTTTCAAGTCATCTACCCTCCTCCCAGCCTCCAAGCTTCACTTTAAATCAGCTACGGGACGTATTATGGGATCTCTCATCTGTTTTCAATGTAGAGAAAACTTATTCAAAGCTTATTTGGGGTCTGTGCCTGTAACTGCAGAATTCTTCTGTTTATAGAAATAGTTTAACCTCAAGCCTCATGGTGGTGTACAAGCACAATTTTACTGCTTTACCAATTCATGTGTTGCTTTGTGCTTTTTAGTTTTAACCATATGTAATTATTTTCCAGTCAAACACTTGCAAAGGACGTGGAAGTGCCATGCTGGCTGCCAGTGCAGTAGCTTCAGCCTGATTAGTTTCTTTTGTTCCACCTTTGCCCAAAACCAAGAAATGCAATCCCATTCCCTATAGATGAGGATCACTGGCTTCTGGCTTGGTGGAATAACAAGGGGGGGGAAAAAACCTCCTGCAATAAGTGGGGCGAGTTACCCAGCCCTGATTCTGGAGTGCTGTGTGTGTGTGAAGCACAGCTGCAAGAGATGCTCTCTGGATTTGAACCAGGCTGCAAAAAAAGCCCTGTGATCTTGTTCTAATCAGTGTAGTCACCTGTGGGAAGGATATTGCATTCAAAGCAAACAGGTGTTTGCATGCAGAGGTCTTTTGGCTGGAAGAGGGTAGCTGTAGATGTATTTCCTTCCCTCCTTTTTCTTTTTTTTTTTTTTTGGGGTCCATTTTCCCAGCTTTTAAATGCAATCTCTCTAGAATATTGCTGCTTCTTACAAGTTTGATGCCAGCCATGGCAATGCCTTTGTTGTGATGCTGCTGCTACTAAAATGCTCGTGCCATGCTGTGACACATTTTTTGGCATCAGCTAATTTTCTCCCAGGAGCTTTCTCTTCTCTTTTTCTCTCTTTTTCTAACTAATTTTTTTTTCTACCACCTCTCTTGAATCCTTTTTTGTCCCCTAATACAAAAGGGAGATGTTAATGGGAGCAAGAGATGGTTGCATGTAAAAGCACACTGTGAACCAGCAGGTGTGTTCTGTGCTCTGCAGATGGAGCTGGGAGTTTGATGGAAGTCACATGGAGGAATATTAGCTCAGGTAGCCTGTGTGGATGCTCTTACTGCCATAGAAATTTATAACTTTCATTTCTGTTGCAGCAGCCAGAATAGGCTCTTTGAAGGTAGAAATGCTAAAAGTCTTGTTCCTACATCCCGTTTTTCTCAGTCTGCTCGGTCACGCTTGGCTTAGTTGAGTTGGGGTTGCTTGGAATTTCAGATTGGATTTTGTATGTGCTTATTCTGTGTCATTATTCTCTTATCCTGGCAGCATCTTTGTCCTTTCATTAGCAGTTTTGCCTTTGTCTTCCAAACAGTCAAAGGAAATGCATAACCACAGAACTTTATCAACTTCCCTGAAGATATCCCCAACTTATCTACTTATGCTCGTGCTCCCTCTCTGTGGAAAAACCTCTGTGACAACTGCAAACATTTAGTTAGATGGGTTAATAACAGATCCTGGTCAATTATGAATCATTTGTAAGATATCTTGGGTATAGTTGAGTTTGGAAGCAAGTTCTGAGTAGTTCGTGTACCCTCACAAGATGCAGAACTTTTACTTGTATTTCCTCAGATCTGCAATTGCTTGCTGTGATGTTTAGCAATTCTATCAACTTTGCACACATAATGACAAAACCAAATCCCAGGATGCCACCTGTGTCACACCTCAGACACTAAACCATGAGGGTGGAGGCCATCAAACTGCTCTCCACGGTGTGCATTTGGCAGTTTAAGGATGCAAATAAAATTTTTGCACCTTCATATCCGTGATAAAGAAATCCTGTTTGTGTCCAGGACATTAAAATGATAGAATAATTCTCAAAGAGGCCGGCTGTTTTGGTCTCAGGAGTGAAGAAAGGTGTGGGATAGTCTGCAAATGTCAAAGGACACTGCCTGTGACTTGTTTTAATTTGCACATCAGGTGTGGGAAGCTTTTCCTGTGCTGCATGACAGCTGAAGTGGGTTTTAACAAACTTATCTCTATCAGCTTCTCACCTCAGGGTCTTGAAAGATTGCTTGGGATTGAGAAATGACTGTAGGTCAGAGAATTACAGATATGGTGTAATATAAATGTTTGCTCTCTCTGCCCTGTCATCCATTGTGATCCCCCCCTCCACCCCAAAGAAAACATCAACTCAAACTGGGTTGATGGGGCATCACTGTGAACAAAACACATCACTCTCATTTGCATTCACAGGAACATTTCTATATATTTGTCTCAACCTTCTAAAACTTCCTCAGATGTAGGAGATTATGAATTTATTTCAGCACAGCTGGTTGAATTGATTGTTTTGAGAATAAAGGGTTTCTTGCAGCTAACAAGGTAACAAGAAGTTACAACTCATGTTTTCCCTCATTATTAGGGCTCTACTCTTAAAATAGAGCTGTTATCTTAACAGAAAATTTGGTTGTTTTGGTCAGCCTGCTTCTGACTAAGTTTCAGTCATTACACCTCCTAAAATCTGTTCAACCTCTGATCAGCCAGACTGTGCAGATAAAAGTGCCAGTGGAATCCAGCAGAAGTTTCTCCTTTGTCAGCTTGTCCACCTGTTGCTAAGGAGGACATTTAAGAGAACAAAATGTTCTCATCAGCCACCAAGAGCTGCTCTGGTGCAGTGGAGAAGGTTCTGAAGGAATAGCTAATGGTACCTTGGGGGGAGGAGCGAGTGCTCTTCCATAGGGTGCTTAATATTCTGGAAGCTCTTCTCCCGAGGAAAATCAGATTCCTTCTGTTAAAGGAAGTTCTGCTGTACTGCTGCTGAGCTGAGAGCTGTCTGGAGACATCAGGAAGGCTGGACTCTGCTGTCATGGTTGTGCAGACACCTGTGCTCTCATCCACAGTACTGCTCCTTCCTGGTGTCTCCCCAGGGACAACCACGGGTGAAAAAGCGCTTGGATTAATATAAACTCAAGGTGTTGCACTGGTTTTCCACTGGATTTTTGATGAGAGGATAAGACCCCTGGGAACTCTGTAGCATCTTCTCCTACTCCCTGGAGCTGGAGAGAGCTGAGTTACCTCTGGAGGAGGCAGAAGCAGGACTAGTTTGCTATAGAGAGCGAACAGTGCTTGGTACCACCCACCATGGGCTTGAAATCTCAGTAAAATCCAGAAATTCCTCTTGGCTGACTCCTCAGCTGTTACTTCAATGAAGGCTGCTGGATACAAGCAGAGATTTAGTCAGAGACTGTTGCACATTTTAAGTGCAACTAAACCAAAAATCAGTCGAGTTTTAAAAGCAGGTTTTCTGCAGTGGTTAATCAGGTGGCTTTTATCTACTGCAGTTGTTTTGATTTATGATCTCATTTATGCACCACACTGGGTTTACAGAAAATATTTTCATTTACTTAACCAATTGACCGCCCCTATTGTTGTTTTTTTGTTACAGTCCTTTCTTTAATAATCTTCTCAACTGTGTTTCTTGCAAGGGTTCAAAGTTCTCGCCTCAGCTTCCCATTACTGGCCACTGGAAGATGTGGATGGAATTCATGAGTTTCGGGATACCAATGGAGGTAGTCAAAGGATTCACTGACAATGGCAATAACATAAGTATTTGTGGCAGTCTGTAAGTAAAAGAGGAGCAGGAGAAAAGAAAGGGTTTAGCTTTTGTGCCCCAGCAGTTGAGATTATTTTTTCCTCAGTTAGTTTTTTTGCAGTGCTCTGATGTCCAAATGATACCGTATTTGTGAACTGATTTTTATGGAGTATTCTCAGAGGTTTTATGGGCTGCCTGTGCATTGTTAAGGTTATAAAGAGAAAAGGTTTATGATCCAAAGAGCCATTGAAATCACATTGTTATTAGTGGGTTTGGTACCTGCAGAGCATGCACTAATCCGCTCAGTGACTGAGATCTTTGGCTGTGCCAGCAGTGCAGGTGTCTCCTTTCTGGTTTTGGAAGGAGTTAAATACCCAGGTGCCTCATGCACTTTTAAAAATTGCTGGTAGCATCTATAGAAAGAGAAGTGTAAGCTCTTATCTGGATACTTCTTACTCATTTTTATCTGCTTTTGGGTATGGCCTTAAAAATGCTATTGCAGCGTTAGTTCGTATTAATTCATCGGTTTTTCCAATTAGGCAAAATCAAGAGAGGTTTTAAGGCAAAACTCACTGTGAATGAGTCAGTTGTGAGGACTGCAGGATCCCAGAGGGAATGATGTTAAAGGGCAGTCTGGCTGGATTCAGCAATTCTCTGGATCTGACGTTTCACATCAGGACCCGAAAGGGTGTGTGGGGCTTTCCAGGGATGTGCAGGTGATGGAATTAATGGAGCTCCAGCAGCACCACCAGCAGAGCCACGACCTTGCAGGGCCTTTCCTTTCAGATGAAATGCTCAGCTCTGCTCTGCCTCTTTCGGAGAATCAAAGGTCCCTCAGTAATTTTCACATGAACTGTTTTTTCTCCTCTGGATGAGGATTCTTCCTTCCAGGGCTGCCCATCCTGGCAGCTGAGCTGAGCAGTTTTGTCCCAGTGCAAGGAGGGGCTGCTGTGACTGTAATATCTTCATCCAGAAAGAACCACTGCAGAAGATTAAATCAGGACTTAAGAGACCTTTACAACCTTACCGTGAAAAATGTTACCAGAAGTGAAAAGTTATTGCTATTTATTACACAAAAATGGCAATATCAATCTCTGCAATCTCTGGTCCTAAGTCTGAAAAAGATCCATAAATATCTAAAACCTTTTATTGCAGAGGTGTTCAAGTATTTTTAGCTTAAACTTTGACCTATCTTTCCACAAAATTTCTCAAAGGAATGGAATTGGCTGACCAGAAATATATCTGGGCAATATTCTGCTTCTATTAGGAGCTGATGGCAGCATATTCCTATTGACTTCAATAGAATAATAATTTGGATTATAAAAAGTTACCATGTGAGTTCTCTAACAGTGTGTTAAAGTCATTTTCTGACACTGGACTTCACGTAGTCTTCAAAAAAGGTAAAGTGCTGCATATCTAGCCCTATTTTGGCAATCCTGTTACAACAAAGATGTTTTGAAAGTGCTTGAAAATGATAAATATAAAATACAGCTCTTGGAAAAATGAGAATTAACGTCAGAGTGTTTTTCAAATTTTGTTAAATTACATTATTTCAGCAAAACTCATAAATCTTTTTAGTAGTATCTTGGCAGAGATAAAGCAGAACAGAATGAAATTCCTGATCCTACAAACCTTCCCTTGCAGGAATGGGACTGGCTCACAAGAGCGATCTCTTTTGACTCCTATTATGACATGGTGTTAAAGAACTTTATAAATGAGCCAGCTGCATGACTTTGCTGAAGAGATTTGGAGGACTTTGTCACACTATTATTTGCAGAGGGTGCCAGGAGCCAAGTCTTTATCTCTGCAGAGCAATTCCGACAATGCTGAGTTCTTTCCTTAATTTTGTAGTGGATGGCTCAAATTGTTCTCAGCTGCTCATATTCTGTCTGCTAAGACAGAGATATCATCTCAACTGCCTCCAGCAGAGCTTTTATGTATCTGTCTGATATTTGACTTTGATACACAAGAAAACTTTTCTTTATTGTTGTAATCTACTGCAGGTGACAATCTGCTTGTTTTTGATACCATTCTGATGACACAACTCTTCTGTTTATTGCTGGAGTCTCTCTTGTTTTTCCACCCATCATGTCATGCAGTTATTTTCATTCCATGTTTCTCCTCTTGAATCCTTGAAGCATCATAATCTGTCCGTCATGTTAATCCATTTTATTTGTTGAAGTCATTGTGCACGAAGCCAGATTTATATCTCTCAATGCATTTGTGTTGTGGGAGCGTGTCAGCAAATTAATTTTTGGTTATCTCAGCAGTTGGAAGCAGTTGAAGGGAAACAATCAACTCAAAATAGAGCAAATAAAATAAAAAAAAAAGTGGCCATATTCAGGTTTTTCATCTGACCCCTCATTTTTCCATGCATTTTTATCTGGAGGGGTTTGTGTGCATTTTTCTTTTAAGAGCATTTGTCTTTTTGTTCTCTGAGCTCAGATGGTCTCAATCTGAAATCAATATGTCTCCATTTACCTTCATGGGTTTTCCATCAAGCTTTATTTGCCTGCCCAGGGTAAAAAAATTACAGCGTGCAAGATACTGTTAAATTATCAACATCAGAAAAAAAAAATTAGAGAATGAAATTTTATTGCCAGATATTAAAAAGTTGGGGCTTTTCTTGTGTTTAGATGGAATTTCTTGTATTTTATTTTGTGCCCATTGCCTCTTGTCTGTTCACTGGGTACAAATAAGGAGAGTCTGGCACTATTTTTACGTCTCCCATAGAGCATTTTTACACATTGATGAGATCCCTGAGCCCTCAGATCTCCGGGCTGAGCAGTTCCCAGCATTCCCAGCCTTCCACTGGACTTGCTCCAGTGTGTCCATGTCTCCCTCACACTGGGGAGCCCACAACTGGACATGGGATAGAATTGCCCACAACTTTTGCACCAGTGCAGTGATTTTTGTTATGCATGCATAGTTCCTTAACAGCAGGAGTACATTTCAGAACCCCTCATCTGCAGTTGTATTTTTTATATTATTTTCTTCTCAGTAACTGTGAAGAAAACCCTGTTTTGGTGATGCTGGATTTGCTTCACTTGTGCAGGTGAAGAACGAGACATTCACGTTCCTGCAGCTCCCTGGGGAGAAGCTGTGGGGTCATTTCAAGGGCCACTGTTCAGCACCTGAGCTTTGTGCTGAGTTGAGAGATATGAACTGGTCAATTCATTACTGATTGTGTTGATTCATTGTTTTGCTTATTTGCTTATTTTCTTTTGTTGTTCCACCCAGCTCTAAGAATCCACAACTTCACTGTGCTCCCCTCCCATAACTCTACCTTTGTATATACCAATGACTCTGCCTACTCTAACTTCTCTGCAACTGTAGGTGAGGATTTACTTTTTTTGTTGTTGTTTTTGTTCTGCATTTGTCAAGCTTGGATGGTTCTTGTAACGTTGGATTCAAAGCTAAAGCTGAGTTTTGCTTCAAGTGGTTTGTGCTCACTTTGTCACACCCTGGGTTACTCTGAATGATTAGGAGAGGGGGATGTGCCTCCAAAACCTAAAAAACTTCTGTTAGTCTTAATAAAAACAGAGATGACGTTTCAGGGAAACATATAAGAATAAATAGGTTGATTTTTTTTCTTGTTTTTCAAGGCTAAACCTCCATTTTTAATTGTTTCGGAGTATTTTTTAAAGGACACGTTAGGAAAGACAGATGCAAACAAATTTGCAAAGCCTGGAAGTAAGATCTTGTCAGCCATGAAAACTTTGATTCACATGATGTTTAAACAAAAAGAAGAAAAACAGTGAAGCAAAAATCTGCATATATATGTCCATTTATTTATTTTATTTTTAACATCAACACACTGGGAGATAAAAGCAAGGATAGAAAATCCCAACTTACCAGGCAGAAACCTGACAGACTGCAAACTAGTTACATTTACAGCACTAAAGTCACTTAATTTAAGTCCTTAGCATTTATACTGTGTAGGTGCAGTTGAAATATGACCTCTTGTCCACTTTATGCTTAGGTATTAACTCACATCAAATTGTTGGAAAATCTGACCTAAGGAGAAGGATGGAAATGGTGAAACTGTCATTTGGGCTGCTCAGAAAGGACGATTTTTATATTGGAATATTAAACCCACTATTTTTTTTACTCTCTAACAGTAAAAGTGCGCTGGCAAATGTGAACTCTATTAATAATGAACTTCAGATGACCCTAATTCGTTTCAGTCCTTTCTTATCTGCTTTATAGACCATTTGCATAGTTCTCACATAATAAAATATGTTCAATATGGACATTATAAAGAGTGACATCAGTGGCAAAGGAGATGCTGTGGAAACAGGAATGCATTACCTTATGGGATTTATTCTGGCTGGATTAGCTTCTAATTGAAGTGCCTCAGGAAGAACTTAGAAATGCTTGCTTTGCTCTATAGTACACACAGTTTGAAAAGAAGCTAAATTTTATCTGTCAATTAGAGGCAGGACTTGATGATTTCTTGGAGATGTATTTCTGTCTTTTTAGTGTAGCTTGTCAAGTTAATTTCATCGAATTATCTTTTTAATGAAAAGTGGGTTTTGATCACAACCTTTTCCTTTCAAAATATTAAAAAAAAAAGCCTATTCTGTTACAGTTTTGATTGATTATTCATGGGTTCTGTCAAACAGTCTTAATCACAGAGCTGAGTGACAGATATAATATTTACAAATTTTAAATAAAAGAGAAACAAACCACCAACAAGCTCAAACAAACAAAAATACCTTAAAGAAAAACAAACACACAAAAATCAACAAAAGCAGAGGTATAGTTGGAACAAGATAAACATCTGAGGTGTAAGGGCCTTGTTAAAATCACATTTCCAGGGAGTTTTATGTGAATGCTAAAATACATTTTGCTTTTCCTTTAGATATTGTAGAAGGAATGGTGAACAAAGGCATTTACGTCACTGAAAAGAAAGGAGTCACCTTTCTCTTCTTTGGAAGCTACCAAAATTCTTGCATTAGTAATCCTGAAGTTTGTGGACCTGAAGGTGAGCAAATTTGTTAATTATTGTGTACGTTTCTTTTGCTGTCAAATTGTGTAATTCAATAATCATTGTTTCTTTCCTCATTGGAATGAAAACTAAAAATCCAGCTTGATAGTTTTTTTACTTCTAAAACAATTGAGTGTTGATTGCTGAAAATTTAGTCTTTTCTAACTGCAATTTAAATTAGAACTGATCACCAACTACTCAGAGAAACGTTTTACAGTCTAATTAATTCAAAGAGTGCCAGAAATAAACTTACAGTGCCCAAAATCTTACCAGTGGCAACAAAATGGATTAATTCCTACAAGAACAGCAGTTTGACAAGCAGAGAAGTTGTAACACAGGCTTCAGATTTAGGAGACAGATTCAGAGTGGCCTCTTAGCGGGAATGGGTTTGGGTTTTTCAGGTTTATCTCTAGAGACAACAACATTTGTAGGTCTCTGGTGTTATGGAATCCATTTGTCCTCACTGACACTTAAATTTTTTCACTCTGTTCCTCTCCCCTTTTCCTTGGGTTAGGTCACAAAATGACAGGCAGAATGGGAAGGGCACAAGGTTTGACAATGGGTTGGTTACAGAAAATGGCTAAAGCTGTCTCTGAGTGTCAAACCAAACATTCTCCTTGTCGCTGACACCGAGCATTCACCGGGGATTTAAAAGTCTGTGCAAATGGAAGCTCAGTAGAAAATGGTGGCTTTCTATAAACTCCAGCAGTCCCTAAACTTAAGCAGCATTGTTAATATTGAATTTTTTTTTTTACTTTTATTGATTTAGGCCGTTCTTCAAACAGGTAACATTGCTTGAAATAGGATTGCTTTTGAGCTGCTAAAACAAGAGCTGTGTAGGAAGTTTTTATGAAAGTAGGAGACACTCAGAGAGCAGATGGTACATGGCTGTGACCTGAGAGTATTGGAAAAAGTAATTCAATATCCAACTGTAGGAAGATTTTCTGATATATGCTGTATCTTCTCATACCTTTTTTCATACCACTGGGAAATAAACATCATCAGGAAGTCATATTGTTTCAACATCTACAGTATAAGCTAATAATGAGAATAAAGTACTTTTATACTACCGGAGCACTCTAAATATCTCACAAATAAGGACTTTAAAAGCATAAAACACTGAAATGTCCAGTAGACAAAATGTGAAGAACTCATACAAACCATAAATACTAAATCACTGTAGCAGGCATTAATAAAAGAAAAAGGGGAAAAGCCAACACTCTCTTGTCTAAAGGGAGTGTCTTTTCTAATCAAATACACCTGTGGTAAGGATAAGGTGTAATTTTATGATTAAAGGTAATTTTATTCCAGCCTGCTGTTGCTCAAACATCCCTTGACTGCCTCGGCTGTGTTGGGGTGAAACTGGTGTTAAGCACACCCAACCAGGGGAACGAGACGCTCTTGGGATCTTCCCAGACAAAATTCTCTGACCTATGAAACCAAAATCCCACTCCTCTTTTTCCTGGGCTAAATTTCCTAACATCTCAGCACTGTTATTTTTACTGGAGAAAACAAATTCTTCTCGCTTTTGAAAAGTCAAAACATTCTTCCTCCCTGCCCCCACCTTCCCCCTTTGCTCTTTCTCAAGTCGTTCTCAAACAATGGTTTTCTGTGAGCAGTTTTGGGCTCACTGGAGTGGCATTTTCGGTCAAAAGAAACATTTGTGAAAGAGGCAAGAGAATGTTCTCTTGACCAGTAGTCCGAGCACATTGGGAGAAGCTGGATTTAGCCAACATATGTGAAGTTGAAATTTAAAAAAAAAAAGAATGAACAAAAAGAACAGTTAGACAGAAAGATACTACTTTGTTCAGCTATTTATTCTGCAATAATTTTTAGGTTTTCTGCTAAGTTTATGTGATAAAAAGATCATGTGAAATATAAAAATATTATGTACCAAATATACCATTTCTGATAACTAGAGTGAAGTGTCTGAGACTCTTCTATCTTTGATCATAAAATTATGAAACACATAAAAATCTGTGGATTTAACAAGAAATGTACATAGTAGTTTGAGAGCTTCATTAACTTGTCCTGGGCTATCTGGTAGCAAATTGGCAAAGTTCATATTGCTTGGAGGGCCTCAGAACTGCTAACTATAAAATCACCCAGACAGATAGTTTGGCTATATGTAAAAAAAAAGCAGAGTCAGCAGGTTAAGTGAAGTGATTATTCCATTATTCCCCTCTGTTCAGCACTCATCTGAAGGGCTGTGTCCCATTTCTGTCCCCTGATACAAAGGAGATGCTGACAAGCCAGAGTGAGTCTGGTAGATGAGTGCTGGTAGGACATGGCAGGGGAGGCTGAGGCATTTCCCTACACCATGAAGAAATGTGAATTCCTAGGGCTGCCTCCACCTACCTGATGGGTGGTTCCAGAAGCAGATGGAGCCAAACAATCTTGGAGATGCTCAGTGAAGATGTGACGGGCAACCCGGGCACATCTTAGGTTAGATCTAAGGAAAAAAAGCTTCTCCTCGATGTGGGTGGCCAAGCATTGGGGTGGTTTACACAGAGAGGCATCCAGGGTGATGTTAAAATCCCAGCTGAGCTCTCAGCACAAGATCTACCTCAGAAATTGGTCCTGCTTTGAGCAGGCAGTTTAGATAAGGTGACCTTAAGGGTGGTTGCCACCTTCATTCACCGTGATCCTTGGAGGCAAAACCTCTTCCACTTCCGTACTTACAAACTTTTCCTCAACCTGCACTGAACTCAAATTTTTACTCTTAGCACTTTGGACTGTGAATTCTGAGGTGAACATTTTTAGGAACTGTTTATTCAAGCCATTGTCTTTGTAACTGTATTTGCCTGCAGAGCCTCTTCAGCAGAGCCAGTAGAACTTCTGAAGTGTGAGGGAGGTCTGATTTGCTGCTTGTGTTTCAGTTAAGCCTTTGAGGTGACCTTTGATAAAGAAACCACTCTCTCATGGAAATCATATTTTCCTGATGTGTAATCTGAAGAGCTCCTCCATTTTACAGCACAGTAGATAAATTGAACAGCATTGTTTGTGGACAAAGCTAATCACACGTGCAGGATTGCACTTGCATTTGAGCAGAATTGTTTTATTTTTGTGTAGGTTGGGACCTCAGAATTTTTCCTGTGGCTCTGCACGTGTAGCTGTTCCATTCTTTTACACTGGTTCTTTGCTTTCAGGAGTTATTGGAGCACTGAAGTGTGGAAACATGTGTAATAGCATGCTTAAAGAATTAAAGTGTGATTAGCAATGAATGCTACTCAATAAGTAAGGGCAGCCTGGTAGTGCATCAGTAGCTTGGAAATGGTCAGTGCACTAATTCTGGCTGTGATGGTATTGGGTGAACACCAAAAAAAAAGTAGGTGTTGGATGTGGTGGAAGGTATGGGGATATGTGAGCAAAAAACCTTGGCTTTAGCTGACAGAAGCTGCTCAGGGCAATGATTGCTGCTGTGTCCTGTGTGTGCACGTGATGCAAAACAGGGAGAGATGTTTATTTGGCTTAAACTGTTAGAGCGTTGTTGATTCTAAAAACCCTGTCCTTGTTTATGCTAGCAGATGATCTGTCCTCAGAAGCATTCCCACTGTCTGTGTTCTATATATTGGAAATTTTTAATTGCACTCTTTTTTTTTTTTTTTTTTCATTAAAGTCTCCTCTCACTTGCTTTTATCAGGAGTAACATTTTCCTTTTTCTGGAAGACTCAAGACCAACAGGCCAAGTTTCTCCCTGCCTCTGGTGGACGAGTAATTTCCAGTGGCTTCAAAATCTGTTCAAACGAAGGTGAAGGCTCAGTGGAATTTTACACCCGTGGGAATGCAATGATGAAGTGGAAAGCAAGCTTTAGTCCACCAGGTAAATTTATAATTTAAAAAAAAAAAAGTAATTTCTTTGTCACTTTTTACTCCATCCTTGCAGACAGAGGCAGTGGTAAGAGCACAACATCAGGAAGGAGAAGCAGATGTATAAAAATAGCTACAGGATCCCTGTGCTTAAGAATTCTCTTGGTGAGGGGAGAGAGAGATAAAGTACAAACTGCAAAAGTGGTATTTTACTGTAAAACATTTACCACTCAGTAACAGGCCTTGGACTCAGCTCCCAGTTGTTTCTGAAGGGGAGTTGCTATTGACATCAATAGATTAATGCATGTTTAGATGGAAACATGAGCAAAGAATGCTGGTTAATCCCTGACAGTTCTCAGTATATTCCAAAACTGGTGGGCTGTCTCTGCTGCCTCCTAAATTAAGACTTTATTTGGTAACTATCTAAGTGTGTGTTTAGTGCTGTCATAATTTTGTTATCTGTTGAGTGTCAAGTTTTCTATGCCATGCCATAGTATTAATAAACATTCTGGTATATCACATATCTTGCTGCTTCTATCTAAACTGTGTGTTATAATATCTAGGGACTGCAACAAATTCTGGTCTTCTGGTCATGCTAATGACATCCAATAATATTTTTTTGCCCTAATTTGACTACTTGGGCATTGTTAAAACAGGACTTTCTAACCTCATAGTAGCAAAGTTTTGTAAAGTTTAATGAATCAGTTTGGAAATCTTATTTTAAGAGAAAAGCTGCTAAATGGTAAGCATAATTCACACCTTTATGGTTTATCCAATCCAAGTGGAAATTGATATTGTGTTTTCCACCTCTCAAACACAACAAAGAAACAGTGACAACTTTTAATTAGTCTGTTTGCTTGTTCTCCAGTTCTTGCAGCCTTTGTGCTGTTCTTGCTGAGCTGAGTTTTGAGACAGTATTGAAGAGACCTCAAATCTTGGCCAGCAACACTCAACAACTGGGATTTATGGAGCTGCAGCGAGCCCAGGTTCAGACAAAAGCTAACAGGCATTCTGCCAAAGCATGGGCTTCCCCACGGGTGTAAAGATTAATACATAGGACATCAGCATCCCATAAGTCACTCTTAGCAGTTCCTGTGCAGCTCCAAAGCATTGCAGGAGTCAGCAAAACCACACTGAGCAGGAAAGGCCCTAAATGGAGTTGATTCATGGCTTTTGCCGTGGCTTCTGATGTTCTGCAGGCCCTTACTGGACTCACATTCTCTTTACTTGGAAATCAAGAGAAGGACTGAAGGTCTATGTCAATGGGACTCTGAACACAACGGACCCAGATGGGAAAGTTTTCTACGATTATGGAGACCCCAGTGCCAACCTCCTGACGGGGACAGAGGGGGACCAGAGCAAGCGCTACGTGAACGGGGCATTCGATGAGTTCATCATCTGGGAGAGGGCTCTGACCCCCCATGAGGTGGAGCAGTACTTCACAGCTGCTATTGGTGAGTATCTGCACGCTTACAGTTCATCACCTCGGAAGATGCTGACCTGCAAACGCTTCCTGTGCGGGACTTGCGTTAGTTTTACATCTCTCAGCTGTTCAGGGTGACTTTTAGAGGCGCAAAATGCCAGGTGTGAATGTCACTGAGGCACTCAGCTGCCTTGGCATGTGCAGCCTCTTCATCTCGGGTTCTGGCTCCTTTACCTGAAGTGATAAAGACTTATTAACTGCTTGGGAACTAAAAGAAAAGAGACCAGTTGAAATGTAGTAGGAAAGGCAAAGAATCAGGGTTAGAACAAAGACAAAGCCTGGCCAGTAAATCCTGTCAGTGGTTCTGTGGATTCTTATAATAAACCTTTCACTACGAGAAAGGCTGTTGCTAATAAGTGTGAGCAGCAATTAGAAAGCATCCATCTTGGGAATAAAGGTATGGGGCACCTGGATGGAACATTTGGCTTTGCTGGAACTTTCCCTGCCTTCATTTATTCTTACTAAGTTTCTGAGAGCTAAAGCAGTTACACCCATAACTCATGTGCTTTTAAACCCATGGGAACCGTTTTCATAACACAGAACTTCTGATGTGTGCCTGGAAATGAGAATGTGCTTGTTTGTGACTTGGAGGTTTGATTATACCAATCAAATATATACTGAATGTATTTAAAAAAAAAGTAAAGTAGTTGATGTGGAATTGAAGTCACTGAAAAAGAAAACCTTCCACCTGGTATATAATGAAGCAATCTATTTGATTTGCCACACAAATAGTAGGAATTTCACTCAAGTGAAATTTTAAAAATATTAAAACCTTTATAGTATTTTATATTAAAACCTTTTTATTTTAAAAAGTGACTCCTCTGAAAGTCTTCAGAGCTTCTGATTGTGAGAGTATTCATTTGGTAGTCATTTGATACAGGAAATAGCTTTAAAAACTTGAAAAAAAAATTTATAATGCTCTGGTCATGTTGGAAAAAATGCTTTTGTGTTTGGCTGCTGTGCCTTTCACAACAATCGAGGGTTACTATAACACCATCCACCTCAAAGCTTCCATAAATCAGACCCTTTGATTAATGTAACTCAAGAAGAATGTTATGTTGCTCGACTCAGGAGCAGCAGATTTTCAGATTGCCCTGATTCATCCATATGTGTGCCCTGCTTCACTGTCACACAGCTATGGCTTATGTAAATACCAAGGGAGCTCTTTCTTTCTTTAACCCCTTGAATTCTTGTGAACTCACAGCAACCACCCTCAGCTCCCCCATTCTCCAATCTTCACTCCGGGAAATAATCAGGGTATCGTGGAAGGGCCTTTCCACAACAGCAGATCCTGGTCAGGGTTGAAGTTTCTATCCCTCTCCTCTATGCTTTAGTTTGGAAAAAATCTTACAGGGGCTCAAAACATCTGTTTGCTGGACGCTGATGTTTGTAGCTCCCTTCTGAAACCCTGCAGGGAGATTTGGGGCCTCTGAGTCTGTTGGGGAAGGAGCTGTTGAACAAAGAGGATGCCAGTGTTTTAAATGTACAGTTGCCCTTTTTTAATTGAATCATAACGCTTGAAATTCCTGTTTGCCCACAAAGGTTTGAGGATTTAAGATTTAGACTGATGCAGTGCTCGTCCGTACAAAGATTAGGAAATAAAATTGATGAGAGAATTGGAAAATTAAATGTCTTAAACAAGCAGATCTGTTCCTTCCAGGTAGAACTGATTCAGCTTGCAGTGGGAATATATATATATAAAAATATGTATCTGATATTTAAATGTCAGATTTGTTAGCGTTTTCATTTGTGTTTGTATTTCACCAGGTGTGCAAGTTTTGCTTTCTTCAACAATTCCATGGTCTCTGATGACAACCACTGCAAAACCTGTGGTAGGACAGTCCTCCTAACTCTTTCCTGTAATGTCAGAATGTGCATATATTACATACAGACATCTCACTTCATAATTTGCATCAGTGGCACTTATTTATAACCCCAATTATAAATACTTTTGGATATGCATAGGGAGAATTTTTAGCCACTGTGGAAGGATAGAAGTACTACAGAACTCCTAAAGAAAGACAGAAGAAGAAATTCATTGTTAAATAAAATATTTTCTATATAAAAAGGGGGAAAAAGTAGCAACTTCTGAATTATTACATTTAATTTTAAAGATGTAGGACATGAAAAATCATTTTGATAATTTTTCCTTCTGTTTCTTTTAAAATTAGAAAAAAACCCACAAACCACCAGAATAACAAAACTGGTTTTCATCTGTTTAGTGAAAGTGCAATGAAAAAGATGAAAATAAAATCCATTTTTTTCATATGGAGAATAGACACAATTAGCTGTAATCAGCCTATGTGCAATTAGCTGTTGCAGTGTATTGTCACGTTCTTGCTTTCTGCAGTATCAGAGTTCTATTAGTTCTTGTTCACAGATGCTTTCAGGAAACCCTGGCAGACAGAAACTGCTAATGAAGAAATTAATCTTTGAATATTCTGGTTGTTCTACCATCCATCCATCTATTTATCTATCTCTCTATCCATCTATCCATCTCATCCATCCACGTGCTTTCCTTTTCCCTTGGCTTCTGTAGCCTCCTGTGTGTGACCACAGCAGTCTGCTGTGCCTTGAGCTCCGTTTCGGGCTAAACCCCTAAATCCTGATGTCCCTATGGAATAACCTGTGCTGAGTTGTGCCCCTGCTGTAGCTCTCCACAAACGCCTATCGACCCATCATCACCAACCTCACCCAGGAGAGAGGGAATTTCCGCTCCCCCGACACCTCGCTGGGGTACCTGGAGAACGTGTCCTTCAGCCTGCCCAACGAATCCTTGTCAGAAAACACTGCTCTGAGCCTCACAGAGGTAAGGGTCTCTCACACCTGTAAGGGTCTCTCACACCTGTAAGTGTCTCTCACACCTGTGTGTGCAGCCAGGTGGCACTGAAGTTTCTCCAGAACCTGGAATAGTGAAAGCGGTTTTGAAAGGTTTTGCTTATTGCACAAAATACATATGAGAAAAGCAGGAACTGCCTTGGGGGGTGAGCTTCAACCAGAGAGAAGGGTTTAAAGATCTCATTGGTTCTTGGAGATATTCTTTGGTGTCTTTGGAGCTCTCACTGTGAGATATTTTGGTGCTGGAGCGTGTCCAGAGGACAGCAGAGCTGGGGAAGGGTCTGGAGCACAGGTCTGATGAGGAGCAGCTGAGGGGGCTGGGGGGGCTCATCCTGGAGAAAAGGAGGCTCAGGGAAGACCTTATTGCTCTCTACAACTCCCTGACAGGAGGATGGAGCCACGTGGCAATTATCTCTTCTCCAAATAACAAGCAATAGGACAAAGAGGAAACAGCGTCAAGTTGACCAGATGAGGTTCAGATTGGATATTAGGGAAAATTTCTTCACTGACAGGGCTGTCAAGCCCTAAAACAGGCTGCCCAGGGAAGTGGGAGTCACCATCCCTGGAGGTAGATGGTAGGCATAAAGGATGTGTAGATGTGGCACTTGGGGACGTGGTTTAGTGTTGGGCTTGGCAGTGCTGAGTTACTGGTTGGGCTCAGTGATCTTAAAGGGCTTTCCCAACCTCAGCAACTTAAGCTAATCCACAGAGAGAAAAAAGAAGGTGGCATTTTCTGCAGTCTGAGCTGAGACTGTGGGGTCATGTTCTGCTAACATAAAGTTAGCCTGGTGTAAAATGATGGGCATCTAATTCCCTGATTTCAGCAGGCTAGAAAGCTATTATTACAGTAATCAGCTCTGGCCCCGCTGGTGATTGTTCCTTTAAGCCTGGGGGTAATAGCAGGGTGACAAGGATGCTTTACTCAGACAAACAAAATAAATAAACGCTTCTGCAAACGACAGGGACAGCAGTTGATAGGTCGTGTTAAAAGCTTGGAGTCTGCAAACTGTAAAGCTGGGATTTCACGGGTCACAGTTTAATACTTAGCAAAACCCCTCCTAAAAAGCTCTAATACATCGTTTCCTTTGTTCTGCTGAAAAATTTGTGTGGGCTCTAAATTGCGAGTGGAACATTGCCCCGCCAGACAACATACCTGTTCCCCACATCATTCCAGCTGCTGTTGGGCTGCTCATTCATGCTGTCTGATGCTGCTTTGTCTGCCATGAAAGTGATTTGCAGACAGAAATGTGGGACATGATTTTCTTTAGCAGAGCTATTTTGGGAAATAAACACAAGAGAGCCCTGATCATACATCCCGACTCTGTCATTTGTCTGATTGATGGTTGGGGCTCTGTATTGTCTGCAGCTAATTCCCTGAGAGACAGGCACTGAGCATGCATGTGATTTTCTGTGGAGTTATCTCTGCCCTGATTGTTGCATGCCTCGCAGCACAAGGAAATTTGATTTAAGTGATATGCAATAAACTTTCTGATTGCTGACACGCACTTATAATGAGTGGCTTCTGACAAACCTGGCTTGTGTTTTGCTACGTCATGCCTTCCACATTTCACAGTGGAACTTCTTTTATATTCAGTTATTCTATAAAGACATTTTAATAGAGAAGCTTAAGCAGGAGTTGTGGGGGTTTCTCTTAATCTTCAGTGCCATCTTCTCCCTCTTCTCCTTCTATTTGTGTGTGTTAGCAAGACTCCTTAGGACTGTGAGTAGATTGTGCTGAGCACTTGAACGGTGCCCACCGTGACAGCTCTTGACCCCAAAACCCAACCTTTAAGTGCAAAAGTTAAGCAGCTAAAAAACTGTACAAAGTGAGGGGAAATTTAACCAGTGCTGTGGAAAAATGTGGTGATTTAGGACTAAAAGAGGCCTGAAAGAAAGATGGAGAGGGACCCTTCATCAAGAACTGTAGTGACAGGACAAGGGGGAATGGCCTCAAACTGAAGGAGAGAAGGTTTAAACGGGATATTGGGAAGAAATTCTTCCCTGTGAGGGTGGGGAGGCCCTGGCACAGGTTGCCCAGAGGAGCTGTGCATGCCCCATCCCTAGAAGTGTCCAGGGCCAGGTTGGATGGGTCTTGGAGCAACCTGGTTTGGTGAAAACTGTCCCATGCAAGCAGGGCTGGAACCAGATGATTTTTAATGTCCCTTCCAACCCAAATCATTCTATGATTCTATTGATGTCATATGAGTTTAGATAAAATGGGAAAATTGGTGTTCAGTTCAGAATAAGTTCACTGAGTGTTAGCTCAGCTGTAGAATGATCATTGCACTCTGGGAGTTGCACAGTGCTGTTGCTTTTAATAAATAAACTATTGCTTTAAAATGTCACCATGCAGAACGTGGTGAGAGTGCTGGCAGGTAGAGGTGAATCTGTGACTTGAATGGAAGTGGTCCTGTCATGTTGGCATAAACCTAAGACAAATCCTAGCAGAGATCTGCCTTGGATCCTTGCCAGGGGATGTAACTGATTAATAAATAATCAAATAACGGAGTTTTATTTGTCTTTCAGGCATTTTTAAAAGCTGTTGAAGACTTTATGTTATTGCCCAACCTGATTGATGGACCACAGGTAAGACAAATGGGTTTGGATTTGTAGATTACTTTGGTTGCATAAATTCACATGGATGATAATGGAGCTGGTTGTATCTATTATTATGCTTGTTAGAGCTTTTTCAGCACTATGATTTACTTATTTTCTCATCTGTCACTTCCATATTTACAGTGAAGATCCACAGGGAAAAAATATATAATTTTCTCTTATGTTTTTGAGGGTTAAAATAAAGGAACTTTATCTGCTGCTGTTTCCATGTATTTCAGGATGAACAAAACAAAACTGTATTTACAAAAGAACAGACATTGTCACTAAAGCAAGTGTTTAACCACTCCTTTTTTAGCACTGACCTTTGATATTTAAAAGTTCCTATTTTTTGGTAGATTGATGTTTTTCAATGCACGTGAAATACGTGGTGGTGCTTACCTGTCTTGTGATCTGAAGCTTTGAGAGAGATTAGGCCTGATATGGGGAGAAGTGACCTGTATCAATCTTCTTTCTTTTCCAGTCTACCTATTACTGTGCCAAGGAATACCTGCAGGGTGAATCCAGGAACTTCCTGAGATTTTAAGAAAGCACAGATTTCAGAGCAGAGAGCTTTTAAACTGACAGAAGGAGAGGCTAAAGCAAATCAAGGTCTCAATGAAGTCTGAAATGCTTTTAAGACAAAAAGATGTCTAATTGATTTAGGTTCTTAGCCTGAAATCCTTGATCATCTCTGGTGTAAATGGATTTCAGATAAAACTGAAACATGCATTAACTCTGAGATTTTATGGATCAGTTTTCAACCTGGAGGGTTAAAGTAGCTTTATGCTGAGGAGCACTTTAACAAGATGAAACTGCAGTTTCTCAGCTTGTGTTCCAATACAGATCTGATAATGATCTTTAAGTATTGTCAAAAAAATTATTCACAGTTCTTGGCCTCATTCTGCTGAATCCTGAGTATAACTGACTGTCAAATGCCGGTGGGAGCAACAGTCATTTGCAGACATTCCATTAACATAGGATTTTATGTAGTTAGGCTCTGCATGGCATCAGTTTGTGCAACATTTTACCCACCAGACGTGGGAAAGGCCACGCTTGGCTCAGGGGCAGCCGAACGGTGAGCCAGGCGGGGATTTAACCTGGCACCATGCTGTTTTGTGCTGTGAAGGGCAGCTCCTTTGCTGCAGATCCTTCTCTTCCTTCCCCCCTCAGACAGCCCTCGTGTTGGGCAGTTTGATCCAGACCATCGACACGGTGATGTCCCACGTGACGTGCAACCTGGACGAGGACTCCCTTCCCTTGACCGTCGAGGGCATGTCGCCTGTGGCAGGTGGGATTTAGCAGGGGAGGTTCCATCTGGGCTGCCTGGGTGTCCTAAATGCTTCTGTGCTCGCAGCCCCTCCTCTGCCAACACCGGGGGGGGAATTGAATCATGGCATTTTCCTCTTTCGAATGCAAACCGGAGCTTCAGTTGTAGAAAGATGACTGTGCAGTTAGTCCAGAGGTAATCAGCTCTGACTGGGCTTGAACTCCCTCGAGGTTATCTGGGGAGGAACTCAGAATATGAATTAGATGTGGAGAATCTGGTAATTCTATGCTAATAGAGTTAAAGGGCCTAGAGCTCTCGTGCAGCACTTCGAAGTCGCAGGTGTCTGGATGCTACAAAACCTTAATTTTGGCAAGAGACTGAAAATAATAGGAATGGTTTTGACCTTTTTGCGGAATTTTATTTTATTTTACTGCTGTTTAGCATCCTAGCACCCTCATTTCATCTGCATCTTTGGATGCTACAGGTATCAAAGGTAATTTATTTCTTCTGGCATTCTGCTGTGCCTTGAGGGGTAAATAACCTGAGCAGTCCCCAGCACCATTAATCACTGCATGTGCTCTCTTGGGCACTGGGATTCTCAAATGGAGGACTGAAATAATGCCTTCAAATGTCAGTGGAAGAGAGCTATTAATCTGTTTTGTTTGCCCTGGTAAGCTCAGTATTTGAGCCTGGGTGAAGTGATCCATGGTATATTAACAGTGCACGTACCACCTTTTCTGTCATAAAGGAGTCAGATATAAAAGGCAATTTTATACTTGGGGAATTTACTGTATTTTCTGCAAACATATGGGGTTTTAAACTCAAGACTTGCAATAGCTATTAGGGAAGTCTAGTTAAACAGTCAAGTAGGTTGTAGAGGCTATTGATTTTCTGATATTTTTGTTTGGGTTATCACACAGATTACACTCTGCTCAAAATGCATCCTCAGACTCTGAATTTGTCCCACTATCGATTTCCATCTCGAGGGCAGAGTTATATTTCCATTCCCAGTGAAGCTTTCCATGAAAAAGGTAAGGAAAAGATTAAGGGGAGGAGTGGAGTCGTATACACAGGGTATCCAAAAATGGTTTTGCTTGAAAACAGGTTTTGGTTCACTTTATTTTTCCAAGTAAGTGATTTGATGCCTGTTGATTGTACTGGCTCTGAGGAGGCAGCAGTTGTCCTGTCATACCAATGAATGATTCATATGGTGGAGTTTTCATATTACTTGAATTAATTTTGAATAATAGAGCTGGGCCACAGAGATTGAAGCCATTTAATTTTGACACATTTTTATATTAGAGAAGCCACAATCTCGTAAATTTGTTTTAATCATCTGAACTGGTTATTTGCAAGAAATTCCAGGTTGTCAGATTAGGTATTGCTTACCCCTTCATGCAAAATTACTCTTTTGTATAAAATTAAATGATAAAATGACAGGTTTAAGCAATAGCAGCTACAGAAACAAAAATGAAGATATAGGCTGCAGTCATGGCAAAAAGGCAGCACTCAGAAATCCCTGCCTAAGCTGAAATTTTAATAATCTCAAAAGCAAGGTATGGCAAAAAACCTGCAGCTTTATTCAAGACTCTAAAAAACCAATATTGGAAGTTAATTGTCTATGTTTTATTCAGGGATTGAGGGAATTGTTTACAAAAGCATCCACCCCCATCCTCAAATCTTTGAAAATCTGACCCATGTGCCCTAAATTCCAACACACAGAATTTGCTCACCCCCAGACCTCTCTGCAGTCACCTCTGGTGAAGGATGGTCAGTCCCTTTTCACAAAGTGCAAAGTTAGCTGAAAATAACCTGCAGTGAGAAATTCTCTGATAATTACTGAACTGTCTGCCTGATTTGTGATGACAGCTTTGTTTCTTTGCACTGGCAGGGGCTCTGGCTGGAGACTGCAAGTGCTCTGAGGTTTGAATAACTCTTAATTGTAAACCAACTTTGTAAAATGCCAAAAACAGCATGTGAGAGGACTTTTTTCCTTTCCCACTCATAAAAATTTCTCACCATCCAGGTTTTTTATCTCCTTCAGAACGTTGTCATGCTCCGTATCCTGAAATTATGCAATGCATTAAATGTTTTATTCTTTTTCCAGCAATATCAGCCTTCAGGCCACACTTCTGCACTGCCCAGATGAGCTAACCTAAAAAAATCTGTTATTTCACCTTAAACAGTTGACACTATAAATACTTGGAACCCAGCAAAAGGGGTAGTAAAAGACATCTGTGTGGCTCACTCTTAGAAAACACACATCTGTCTCTTCACTCAGATGCTGGAGAGCCCAAAAAAATACAGGAATGTGGGCAGCAAACAGAAAACCAACATCGGAACTGGTTGCCTGTGTTTGAGTTTCACGAGTTCGTGTAGGTGGTGGTGAAGTGGCCTTGGGGTTACTGAGACTCTGGTGTGTCCTGAGACCTGTCCTGGTGCTGTGTGTGGGATTAATAAGTGACAGCTGACAGGCTTCCTCCTATTTTACTTTTGATATCCGTCTCTCGAGCTGCACGATGTGTTCAGACCTTTTCACTTACTCAAAAGAACAATCAGAACTCCGCCAAAGCAAAGACATGAAAGCGGACGTAAATCGAGGCTTTTCATTAACACCGAGTTTCAGGCCTAGGAGAGAAGTGCCTCTTGCTTAGAACTGTTGCCCTGAGGAATAACTCCTGTTGTTTTTTTTCACAGCTTGGATCACCATTGTCGGCCTGCTTTACCATAACATGCATTATTTCTTTCATAACATCGACCCTATGGATACCAAGTGAGTAGCTCAGACCTCTCGTGCTGTAGCAGGTTGTTTATTACCTTGGTGATACACCTTTCTAACAGTCATGCCATTACCAGCTGTAAGTAAATTACAAGCCATAATCCTGATTCTGCAGTACTGAGGACATGTAGTCATTAACCAGAGAGAGATTAAAGTTTACATTAGATGTTTTATTTTTCGTTGCAATAAAATAGATTCCCGTTAGCGACATGTTTGTCTTTCTTTGTCTTCTCCTTCCATTCATCTGATCTGGGACCAGCAAATCATCATTTTAATCTGTCTCATAAAAGAAAATTGCATCTTTTCTCCTGACACATATAAAGATAAAGCTTGCACTTAAGTGAAACAAATAAGAAAGCATAAAATCCCTCTTCAGACAAAAATCTGAATCCTAATCCTAGAAACCCCGTAAGGTGATTTTATAACAGGAGACCAGGAAATGCTTTAAAGACCCTTTGTTTTATGTGCTACATCAGGGAAATCATTAGCAGATAAGATAAAGTAAATGCAGAGCTGTATACCTCCCTGCAATACAGTTCCCCAGGGGATTTTGCAAGGCCAATTCATGTAAATCATTACACTTTCCTTTTAGGCAAGTGCATGACTTTGTGTTTTCCTTTGCTTTTCCCCGGGGTACCCAGAGCAGTTTACACTTGCAGTCTTTTCCAATCTGTGACTTTTTGCTGCGTTGTTTCTGACAGCAGGAAAGATGCAGCATCTCAGCTCTCCTGAATGTCAGGGATTGCTTTCCTTTCCTGACAGAGTTACATGGGAGGTCTTGGGAACTTCAGGGTAAAGAATCCCGGCTTGATTGATCCAGGTTGGATCACAATCCACGCTGATCACCCTGAGATAATCCTACAACTATTGCTACATAACATTTCTAAATCAACAGCAAGCTGTGCTGTTGGTTGCCCTGCTCTCTCAAACCAAAGGACACTTAGCAGGTGGCTGCCAGGGAGCCACGTCATTAATGTGCAATATTTCATACTGACCTGAAGAAACAGAGGCAATAATTTATGATAGCTTTTGTTTTTCAGACAGGAGGATCGATGCAATTTATTAAGATAATAAGCTAATAAGAAAATAATAATATTTCAAAGGGAGAAAGGGAATGAATATGATCCTGGCTTAGGTCAAGGTTTAGCAAGCACAGTGTGAGTAAAGATGCCTGAATAGCAAAGCACTGTGTCCTAGTGCATTGTCATAGATCCTGGGGCTCTGACCTAGCAAAATAAAAGAGTTGTGTCATATTTGTGCACATTCTCTGAAATTGGTGGAATAGGACAACACTCCTGTTCCCCTGAGCTGTGTGTGTTTTTAGCACTCTTTTTCAGAAGGAGTGATCTGGCCCTGTCACAATGTTCAAGTGAAGCACAAAGACATGGGAGGAAAAATGTTTTCTAGGTTTCTATAGTTAATTCAAAGTACTTGAGCTGCTTGCAGTGTGTAATGGACTACAAAATCGTGTCTATAAAATTGTAGGTGCAGATCTGTCTAAAACAGCATCTAAAAAGGTAATAATACAGGGAATGCTAGCTTAGTGATTTTTCCTCTGTGGAAACAAACCCCAGGTATTGAAAAAATGTTTTAAAAATAAGTATGCACTTCTGCTTGCTTTTCTTTTTTTGTGCTCTGCTATTATAACTTTTTTGCTTACTTTTCAGTAGAATAACAACTTTTTCACAGAGTAGTTTGTTTTAAAGGCTTTTTTTAATGTTCTTTCTAGCACTGGGCTACTTGAACACCTGTAATTTGAAGCCTGTCCATTTTCTTCTTAGGAGCAATTTTTTTTTTCTTTTGTGGTGGAAAACCAAACCCAAAACTCTCGGAGATTTTGTGCTATACACACAGATGACTTCTATTTTCAAACTACATAAACAGCAGTTTCTAAAGGGAGTAACTTTTGATTCTTTAAAAAAAAAGTAAATTGAAACATAACAATATTTTGAACCCAGTTCTGCTCACGTACAGTTTGTGTAAATCTGCCATCTGACATCCAGGGCCATGGTGAAGAAAGGCCTGTGCAAGCACAGAAACACTATTTTCTGCTTGTGATGACGATTTTTTCCACGTTTCAAACTTCACCAAGCTCTCTGGAGTTAAAACAGCAGATGAAGGGTGTGGAAAAAACATCCTTCCCCTTAATCTGTGTAGGAGAAATCCCAAAGAGTCAGATAATGGTTTGAGCATTATTAGTCCTTCTCTAAACTTAAACTTTTCATACCAGAGGAGCAAATTCTGCCCTCAGATGAACGAATTCCATTGACATGCTGGTTACTGGGAGCAGAAGTAATCTCTGATCCTGATGGGTTTTTTGAGGTCAGACCTGAGGACTGGTGCTTGGGGCTGTGCTAAATGAGTTCTGCTCTGTTTGACCCTGCCAAGGAGCTCACTGCAGTTATTTGAATGTCTGGCATGACTTTTTCTCTTGTTTCCTGAAAGAAAAAGAAGAAAAATAAAGACAATAAAATAAAATAAAGAAATTTAAAAAAAAGAAAGCATTGCAAACAGGTGGTAAATGTAAATAAAGTGGCTTTTAATGTGCTTTGCAAGCCAGCTCTTTCCAGTGGTGGGCAAAGTTTGCAAGCCCATAGGGGTGGTTAATTTGCTTTGGCTCGTATTTCTTATAGTCAATACCATTCTTTCACATGCTCTAAAGGCAGATGACAGAGAACATTTTACTCCTGTACAGTTTGTTACTGGTAGTGTAAAAAATGTCACCCTGCAGCCAAATGGATCTCAGTTACACCTAAATGTGCAAAAATCCCAAAGTCATAAGTTTTAGCTGAAAGCAGAAATAAAAGGGTTCTTATGTATTGCAAAATTACTTCAGACTAGAATAAATGTATTACCTGGATAAATCAGATATTTAGAGTCAAGTTCAGCTGTTCTTCCAGTCCTGTAGGACCTGTAGGATCTTGCTCCCCTATAGAAATTAACTGGCTTGAATGGAAAAAGGAGGTCCTGTGTTCCTTTGTTGGGGGGTGTTGTGGATGAACTAAAAAAAAAAGCTGTTCTTCTTCTTTAATATATTTGCTTCTTCCCAAGGATTGCTGAAGCTGCTGCCTACAAAGGTTATATGATCTCAGCAACCAGTTATCTCATCTCTATCAAAGTGGAGCCTCTACCCAAGCTGTCCCACAATCTGTCAGGATCTCCTCTCATCACCATCCAGCTCACCCACAAATTGGTAAGTGAAATGGCAACTCCCAGTTTAGGTCACAGTCAGGGCTGTTTGAAACTTCAGTGCCTGTGATGACTTCTTTGTGTTTCATCGTTTTCATGGGCATTTTTCGTAGCAACTGAGATGGTGTTTGTGGCTACAATATAATGCTTCCCCAACCACTCTGACTCCTGTTTCCATCACTGCAAAAGGCTGATTAGTGCACACGTTGAAGAGGAGGGTGAAGTGACAAGTACAGCTTTAGGCCTTTCTGTGTGTGCTGCTCTAAGGGTGTGTTTGTGCTGCCTGCAACAGAGCGGGGTAAATTGCTGCTTTCTCGTTGGAGTGGCCAAACCCAAGAATTCATTTGTGGTTTTTTGCTTTTGGTCTTCGTCCACACTGAGATAACTGAGGGGTTCTGAATGAATCAACCCAGAGAAGGAACTCCTCCAAGGGCAGGTGGAAGTATGATGGGCAGAGCATCTGCTGGGTTCAAATCCCTGTTTGAGTCTGAACTGCCCTTTCCAGAGAGCAGAACTTTCTGAATCTGAGAAATTAGGGCCAAAAATATGAGAATCTGAGCAAACTTGGAGAAAAGGTTGAATAAAACTGATCACTTTCAGTAAGATGTTTCCATTTCCCCAAATTAGCGTATTCCAGCAAGAAACTGGAATAATAGCTGGGTTTGTTTGCTCTTGGAGAAAGAGATGTCTCTTTTTCTTGTCAGTGGAATGGAGAAGAGTGGAGTTCAACTCCGAGGTGCTGGCAGTGCAGCATCTCTGACCCACTTACAGCGTTGAATGGAAATGCCAAGGGAAGATTTCAACTCTTAAATATTTCCTAGAAAACATCTCTTAGATGTTCTTCTGTATCATATTTTTCTTCCAATGGCTGTTTTCAAGCCAGTTTACCTTCTTCCTGTTGGGCTTCTGATGAAGATGGAGCAAGCTACAGGAAGGAAATGAAAAATCCCCAAGGGGTAGGAGTGAGGTGTGTTGTTCTGCTGACAGTTTTTCAAACTAAGGACTCCTGAAGGTCCCTGGTGGCCTTTTAGAGGAGGGCACTTGTGAAGACTGTATTTTGTGTAGACAAAATTTACAAGCTGCACTTTGCTTTATTTGTCCAGGCACCTCCTCATGCTGTAGTTATGATGATTTGCTAGGAGGCTGTTAAACAAACCTGTGGTTTTTTTCTTTTCTCTGGCTTGGATCATGGTATACAGGTAGAAATGTTGCCTGTTCAGGTGTGACTTGGGTTTGGTTTGTGGTGTTTTCTTTTTTGTGTGTGTAGGGGTTTGACTTTGGTTTGGGGGTTTTTACATTTTTTGGTTATTATTATTTTTTTTTAAATCCTCTCAGAAGTTGGAGAAACATCCTATTGCAACTGAAAAAGTTGCAAGCTCAGTGCTGTTTGAAGCCAGTCATGGAAATACATTTATATTTAAACTTCTGAGAACTTCGAGGGAGGAAGTATTTCTAAATGTGCAGAGAGCACGATCTTGAATTCAGTCCAGTAAGCTGTGCTGGGACAATGACTGGGTTAGGTTTTGTTCTTAGGCACAAAGCCCTGAAAGGAGATGGGGAAGGCACAGCAGGTTCACCCCTCTGAAAGACAGGGAACTCTTCACCTGCTTATTCACTGCCTCCAGCAACAATCTGCTGCTGGGCTTTGCATCTTATCAGCTGTCCAAACCTGCAAGTTTGGCTGAAGCTCAAGAGATGCAAGAGAGACTCTTTCTCCACCAGTGGGGTTAGAAAAGTCACAGTCTGACTGTATCTGTATAACCATTTCCCCAGTGTTTTCCAAAGCAAAACTATATGTAAGAGTGGGAGGTATTTTATGTGCTTGTTCCAGACCCTAATTTCAGTGTTACCTGATGGTGAAGCACTTTGTTGATCTCCCAGCTTGATTTCTAAGCTTCCTTTTAAAATTCCAGATGGGATGTGAAAAATCCAAATGCTAAAAGCCTTCAAGCACCAAAACATTCTGAAATCACCAGGCGTGTTCAATCAGAAAAATCTGCTTTGACATCATAAAATATTTTATTTAAGTCGTGGTTTGCTGTATTTAATTGATATTGATTTCCTAGTGAAGGAATGTAATTTATCACTGGAATAGCTGTTTAAAAGGAGAGCCTGGCATACAAGTTTGTAAAGAGAATGAATAAAGCTATGAGATCTGGGCAATGGGAATACATCTGGTTACCTGCTCTGCTTTTTTTTGCTGTTCATGTGAATTTGCTAAAAAAGAAAGGGCATTAACCAGTGAGGAACAGAACCAACCCTCTGGGTATCTTATGTATGGATTCTAAATTCTCTGAGTAATCTTTAGAAACAAAGTTATGGTGTAGGTAGAAATACTTGGAATATTTGTCTGTGGGGGAGAGGTGTAGCAAGGAGTTGAGCAGAATGTGTGCAGATCTGCTGAAATGGGACATACATTGAATTTGATAGGAAAACTGCTCGCCTCTGACACCTGTGGCTTTGAGAATATAATTTTTTTTAATTAATGGGTAAATTTAATAGGAAGGAATGGATGAGTAGATCATTCCAGTTGTGTGGGAGTGTGGCAGCAGTGGGTTAAATCTAAATCTGTTCTCTTTTACTCCTCTGTGTCTCCAGTGAATTCCACGGAATAATTTTGAACAATATAAATTCAGACAATTTACTTAAGAATTTAGTTAAGTAAATTACTTAAGCAAATTTACAGAAGTCAGTTCCAGGGAATTGACTTAAGGAGATTGGGAAATGACTGCATGTCTCTGGAAGCTTTCATAGGATACCAGCACAGATCCTTTCTTTCCCACTACATATTGTTTCACTCTGAAGTGGTTTCATTTGGCTGAGCATGACCCCTCATGAAATAAAAGTAGAATTTAAAATGTAAAAGAAATTCTGGCTGCAAGATCAGTTAAGTATGTGCTTTAAAGAGTAGCAGTCAAGCTATTTATCTGAGTTTATGATTGAATGGTATGATTAAACTGGGAGCATAAAATCTGGCTTACAAACCTGTTTTATCCATTAAAATACTGCAGTAAGGGGAGAAACATTTGAATGTTTGTTTGTTCCACATAATGTTCTCAGTTTAACAGAGGAAAGTGCAATAAGAAAAAAATAAAAAATGTCAGGTCCAAACAAGCAGTTTTTCTTTATTAATATTTAAGTTTGAGTCTGACTTTTTAATTCTTTTTCTTCCAATGTGTATAGGAAAAATGCCAATCATTCAGCAAGACGGAAAAAATAGGGGAGTAAAATAAACCATGTCTATTTTAGGAAATAGTTACAAAGAAAATGTCTGTGAACTGAGCATCACCTCTTGAAACAAAACTTCACAGAGCATTTGTCATTCCACAGCTTAACTCGTGGTTTGTTAAACCTCCTCTTAGACCAGGATTCTCTGGGTTTCTCTGAAATTGGCTGCATTTCTTACATAGCTTTTGAGATGGTTAAGCTTCTCATTTTGAGACATGAGGCAGTGCAAACTGAGGCTCATATCTAATCAACTAGGCAAGAACACAGGGAATATCTCTCTCTCTAAATACATAATATAATCTATTATATATAAATGACATCTTAATGCTTCCTTTTCTAGAGAGCACCACGGGGCAGAGGGCACTGGGGGGACAGGCTGGAGGCTAAACTGGAGCACAGGAGCTGAGGAGTCACCTCACAGTTAATACACAGGCTGTTAATTTATGTGTGCAAGGACCAGGGGGACCAGACTGCAGGCTCACCTCCATCAGAAAAGGACATCAGTAATTACAGCCATTAGGTTTGATGTTCCAGGCTCACAGCTGGATTCTCATGGGACCAGTATTGCTGGTTGACTTTCTGTCTACCAGCAGAGCAGGCAGAAAAATTGCTGGTAGAGCTTCCATTAGTGGGAAATGGTTTTCTGGCTTAAAATGGAATTTCTCATGATTCAGGATGAATAAGTCATCATTTTTTTTTTCCCCACAAGATTAAAATATCACTTGTTTAAATCCTTCTTATGAAGAAAAGACTTCCTGTGGATAGGATAGATATGTATGTTTTATTACTTATGGTGTTTTAATCACGACAATTCTGACAACAGTTTATTTTGTTGCAAAGTCCCCAAAACCCCTTTTTCTGTTGCTCTTTCTTTTATCTTATGAAACTATTACCAGCTTTAGAAAGATTGTTTTGCAAGAAGTCTTCATCATCGAGGATTTAGAATTAACTTCTTTGCATAAGAATATAAAGTGATTAAGTGTTTTATTCTTTCTGCCAGTCTGAGGAAAACTTCTGCACTCTTCCCATCCACAGTGTCTGCTTTTATAGCACAATGGCATAGCTGGGGGTGAAAAGCAATTCTCACCCTTTCTCTGTAGATACAAGATAGCTTTTCCTGTGATATTTGGGCATCATCAAGGGCCTTTCTACTTGAGACTTTTTACATATTGAAGAATTACATTAATAGAACCTTTTCTTGACTGACCCTTCCTTTCCACTGCTCAGGGGAGCAGGATGAAGATGAGAGAGATCCAGCAGTACTTTGTGACACTGCACAGGCTCAGATCTGTTGTCACCATGTTAAGCTGTTTTATTAACAGTAGAATTCTAAATCTCATTAAATATTTCATACTTTTGATCCAATATTTGTCATAAAGCAGCCTTGCCAGTCAGCCCTGTGCAGAGAGTGGGGAGGGCTTGCTCTCTGTACACATATTGTTTTCTTTCCAGAGCTTATATGAAAAACTATCAAAGGTTGTAATTCAAGAAAATCATGTTCATTGACAGTATTGGCTGTAATTGCAGGACATTCAGTGTGAACACTGAATATATACATTTCTCTTTATCAGCAAAACCTTGTCTGAATTAAGTCCTCCAAGAGACAGAGGTCGATACACTAAAGTTACTCAGTCAGTTGTTATTCAGGAACATTTCAGTGACACACAGACAAGTTTTTAACTGATTTAAAAAGCGATGATGCTCTACTTTTCAGCAGCTTGGATGAACCACTGTCTCCAGCAAAAAAAAAAAAAAAAAGATAACAGATATCAACTA